ATGACACGACGCTAAACCATTGGCCGCAAGTAACAAGTATACAGCTTATGATCGTTTGAATAAACCATCAAAGCAAAATGATTCAATCTCCGGGATATAGTAATTAAAAGGTAAGTAGAAGCAAAGTGTGCCGAAAGTTTCAGCTCTCGAAGAGATAAATTGAAGTGGCACGCGCACAGCCGAAAACTCGAGTGGCTTATCATCGCGCGTACACATACCGACTCCTCCATGCAACGACGACCACACGTTCGCATCCGCGATGACCTAATTTTCTCTCTCCCTCCCTTTGAAAGCTCAAGCCCGTATGTACAATGGACGTTTTTGCCGGTTGTTTTCTTTTTTTGCAGGTCGACGCGCGCATCCCACGGGAGAGAGGAAGAAAAAGAGCTTTGCATTCTTTTGAACGCGCCGTCGCCGCTGGTCAGCGCGCGGCTTTGATGTACTCTGTGCGCGATGTTCATAGTGTACGAGCGTACTGTCGATAGATAGGCTTTCCGCAAAACAAATAACGCAAGGCATCCGTATACGTATGCAGTGCAGCGCGTTGTTTTGCCTATTCGTGTAAGAAAAGCTGGCGATCGAATTATAGAAATTGCGAGAGAGAAAGGGACAGGAGGTTCTTGTCATGGACGAGAGCTTGCGGAGAAAGAACGGATCGATATTCAAATAAATAGTCCTTTGGCGTCGTCTCCTGCGCGCCAACTCGCGAGCCCGCGCAGACAACATTTCTTTTATCGAGAGCTTGAAAATATGAGTGGAAGAGAGTCGCGCCGCGTGTGGAATCGATTTTCCCACTTTTTCTTCCTTATTTCCGTCGCCGAGCGCGCACGGCTGTGCAGTAACTGGCATTTTCTTGTGCCGTGTGCTCTCCTTTTTCATAAGCGTTAAGCTCCGCGAAAGAGAGGAGAGCAAACTGCACAAGTGGATGCTTTTTTTTTATTGATCTGACCGAAAAAGATGCTTTCGATGGAAATTGACTTTGGAGTACAGGTACAGCCAAGCGTTCTAGTTTTCATTTTTAGATCTGCAGGCAGGTACGAGCTCGTGGACAAGCGAATAGGAAATTTTTTTTTGTTTAAATTTGAAAATTGCCTGTCAAGCTCTGTAAACACGAAAGTTTGTGGAAAATTTCTTTCTTTCACCCGTGCCGAATAACGCGATAGATTGGATTGCGTTCATGATTCGCTTTATTTTTTATTACTCCGCTGAGCTTTCAATTCAATCTCCGTTATTAAAAAGTTACAAGAATTTCAATTTTCAACACTAACAGTGTGCTATCTTCCATCAGTCGTAAAAAAATCTGTCCCAGAAAAACAGTCTACGTACACAAGGGCGCACGCACGAGCAATACTCCCTTAAAACACGCGATACACCCGATAATCTAAAGGATCAGTAGGTCAAAACACAAAAGAAAGCAAAACAACGAGGGCCTACCATAAAAGTCCAATTTACAGGCGAGCATAAACTGCATTACGACCTCGGTCTCGAAAGCCCGCGAGGAAATGCGAACGATGATGAATTCCCGATCATCTCTATATAAAACATAGTCTAGAGGGAGAGGAGAGAAAAAACAAGAATTTTATAAGCCTTAAAAACAAGGGGGAGAAGAGCTTGCGTTATACGGTACTGCTTCGGGGTCGTCGCGCCGCGACGCCGCCATAAGAGCCATCCTGAAAACGTCGAGCTTCGGCTTTTTTCTTCCATCGGTAAACAAGCAAGACGTGTTCGTTTTCTCTCTCTCTCTCTCTCTCTCTCTCTCTCTCTCTCTCTATCTCCATCTCTTCGTTTGAAGGGAAACAGCTATTCGCTTTTATTTCTTCTTCTATCAATCGAAATTACGTAAACACGAATTATTTATTCCCGTTGAATAAACTATACATACGTATCGCTAATTGGCAAATGTGCTACGTACCTGCACTTTTTTTCTCCTCGCGTATGTATATAATTAGACGAGCGTGTGCGCGCGTAATGGAAATCAATGCGATCGACCAAGCGTGCAGCTTTTGTCATATAAACGGTGGAGGCATTAATTTATTGGGACTTCCGTCGATTGATTATTAGTTTGTAAGCCATGACGCTTTCACTGATATTGTATCCAAAGCCTGAGGCTATCCTGCCGACATTATAAGTTGACCTCGGCCGTGACATTTGCGAAAAAAAAGGCTCTTCGCGCGCGCGCGACTTCAAAGAGAAAAGCGCCTTACAATCGTCAACGCCGCGGAAGATGCGCGCTCCCTCGGAGCTACGCCAAATATATCGATCGCACGCGCGTCGCGGTCGTCGTCTCTCATTCACCAGCTTTCTCTCTCTCTCTCTCTCTTTCTTTCTGAATATTTGCTCGCGTCATAATGCTTCAAAGAAGAAGGTTGCTATTGTCGAGAGTAAAGCTAACGTCTCACCAGCTAGCTTTTTTTCGAAAATAAGATTGGCTCCTTGTCAAGCAAGGCAAATTCCCTTTCGCTCTGAATTTTAATCGGCAATCTTACGTCCAGACGCTTTGGAAATCAATAGTCCTGTGTATACGTTCAAGTGCCAGGTGAAAAAAAAAAGTGTTTTAATCTTCCCAGCGATCTTAGAGCTTTACGTATGTTAATCAGCGCTCCATTTTTTTGTTTTTCACACTCAAGTTTTCGCTGCTACAGGCCACTACAATGCGAAGTTTAATTTATCGAATGAGAAAGCCTATTATCGCCCTCTGTAATTCTGCCGAGCTTTCAATATATCGCGCTGCAGTCTCGATTTTTTCATTAATTAGCGTTCGTTAACAAAATTTTTCGTGGATTGGCCACACGCGTTCCATTGGAGGCATATATACATGTTAAAGGAGCGAATCGTATGTGTCATTCAAACATCTCCAAAATATTCATCGGAAGACAAGCCCACCTCTTGGATAATACGTTGTCAAAACATCTGCCTATACTCGTTTGGGCAGTATCGAGAAATCTCGCTTAGCAACACAAGAGGAACAATCGTTACATTCGAATAACGTCATCGGATAGCTCCGTCATTTCCCTGGTGACTTGCACTTGCTCGACTCTGAACTTTCAAAGAGAGAAGCTTGTCATTTGTTGATCCTCCTGCCGTTCGTGAACTTACGAAAGTAAAGAATAGCTTATTTCTGTAATGATTACCATCATGGATTTTTGAAAAAGTTCTGAAGGTTAATACTTTCAACTGTCAACCGCAACGATTTCAATCTTAGATGTATCATGAGATGGATCATATATATAGTCGACAGCTTTTAATCAACAGATAGAATAAGACCCATGAGAGCCAGGACATAAAGGACTTTGTCGGTTTTAAGTATCATACTTTACTGAGGACATTCAATAATTTTATGATTACTGACTGTACGGATATATATTTTTAACAACACAATGCTGCAGTGGTGCAATCGATTTCGTTTTATTTTTACTATCTCACCGCTCTTCAATTTGTTAGCTGTGTAGTTCATTGACTGTGACTTGATTCGTAAAAGTAAGTTTGTGACAGCTGCATAGACTGGAAATGTTTACTCACGCCTGACGCTGACAGCTTAGTTACATAATTTTTTCGGATACAGCAGAAATTATATAACCTTTGTAATCGAATCATCGAGCACGATATAATCTTCAAAAGAAAATAAATTGATTAATAAATGGCAATATCGGTAGCCCGTAATGTTGCTATGGTGTTTAATTTAATTTCCAAGTTTTTAATTTTATCTCGAAATCCAATAAAAATGTAAGTTGCAATTCGTTCAATACAGATTCATTAATTACTGTCTTTTTAGACTATTATGCTCATCCATTTCCCCCACAATCTAGCAAATCGAGTATTCATCAGGAATTACGAAGCTAAAATGCTGCCTATCTGTAGCAAATAATCATCTTATCACTCCGTGAGCAGTCGTACAATGCCATCGCTACATTGGGTATAGTGCAATAACCCGGCGTGCCCCCTCATTTTGCAATAACGCCAAATTATAAACCAGACCAATTGTCGACTCGTGGTATACAATAGGTGTAGGTTTTCAAGGGCGGACATGGGGGCCACGAAGAAGAGATAGAGAAACGGGCTGCGCGCGCGCGTTCCTTAGCTCCCTCCGAAATCAATAAGCTGCGTGTGCCCCCAAAGGAGGCGGTGGCGGCTGTATAACGAGCGAACCCAGGTGATACACCTTTCGTTCGCAGCAATATTCAATGGGAAAGGCGTTGCTGTACCCGCGTTGTCGTTTTCTTTCTGCCCACCTTTCCAAGACCTACCTTACTAGCACTTTTCCATGCCGGCTTTGCTTTTTTTTTTTTGACCTACAGACACTCACGTGTTTTATTACGCTTCTTCGACATATTTTTTTGCTTTTTGCGGTGACGTGGGCGTGTCGACGTTTTGCTTGTGCCTCGTTTGATTCTATGTATTTTTTTAATGATAACGCCTAACATATACATTAGCTATTCGAAAGATTGAATGAGTTTGTCTCTCGTCCGTACGTATACAGAGAGCAGAAGTAGATAAAGATAAGTTCGGTCAGACATGCAAAGTGCGCTGGCGATACCGTACGTGCGAATACTATACTACGTGCCGCTAAGCGCACCTGTCGAGTAAGAGCGCGAGCACGTATATACGCATGTACAGTATACATATACGTGGGAGCATCAGTAGCAGTTATAATTCAGCATTAGTGGGTGCACCTAAAACGAGAGAGAGAGAGAGAGAGAGAGAGCAGCAACCCTGCGCGCGTTGGCGGCGCCCCCCTGCGAACCAGTGCCGTCAATCCTCGTGCGTTTGACCCTGCGCTTCGACCCCCCACATTGCCATGACTTTTTTTCCTTTGGCTTTATCGCGTTCGTATAATTGTCTTGCACGCGCTGTAACTTTCGCTGACTAAAATGTTATTCAATGGGTTTGCCTGTTCTTGTTTAAGGGCATGACGACGGGAAAGGAGGGCACTACCCTTACAAGGCAAACAACAGCGCTCGATCTTCCGTTTGATCAAACTGTAACACGTAATGTATCGTTACCTGATACTACTCCAGCTTTATGAGGACGACACGCTTCTTGGCTTCTTGCCACAGATATGCACAGACACTATCGTACGGGAGAGCGGTGAGAATGGAAACTCAAAAGGTGTAAACGAAAAAAACACTGGTCCGTACTTGAACAACACAAGAACGACAACGTGAAACAGCGTTGTCGAGCACTTGATCTGTCATCGACTCAATAATATTAAAGCACTATTACACTTGCACCAGCTCTCGTAGACGACGTGTCTGTCGTATAAGGGGTCGATGGTCTCGTGCTTGCTGCTGCGGCGGGTGGTGGCGCCGTTCTCTCTCTCTCTCTGTCTCTCACACACTCTCTTTGCAGGTCGATAGCTGCTCTGTCGCGCGCACGCTCACTCGTTCTCTCTCTCTCTCTCTTTCGTCAGTCTCTCGTCTGTCTTTGTCTTCTCTTTCTCTCTTTCGTGCTGTCGCGGCTACGGGGCGCGGACCACTAGCGCACTGAACCGCCAGAGCCCGGATCGTTGGACGGAACTCTCGCGCGCGCCGCTTTTACCCCCACTCTGTCTCTCGTGATACGCGCCGTAATACCTACCGCCGTTCCGTTTGCCGTGCTCGCTCCCTCCCCACCACCACCACTTACACCCGGCGTCATGCCCCCCCCCCCCTCCACTCACTCCCTCTATCTCTCTCACTCACCTCCCATATATATATCTACAGCTACCCCTTGGCTGCTATATAGCGCGCGGGGGAGGGCAAATTAGGGGTTACGTGGAATTTACAAATTTTATGAGTACGTTTGCAGAGAGTAACGCGCTAGCGTTTTCAATGCATATACATGCCACCGTAGAAAGGGAGAGAGAGAGATATCGAAGTTTGCCAATTTTGGAGGACGCGTGCAACGCTATTTTTTAAAAAGCGCACGAGCGAGTGGATCGAGAGATGTACTGTAAATACAACTTTCAGGGGTCTTTCTTTTTTTCAGCATGATGAACCGACTTGCGATTGTTCTTCTCGTTATTATATGAATTTTCAATATTCAAGCTGAACTTTTTCGCTTGGAAGAAAACTTGGAACGACGAGATCCTTCGGTTTCGGAAAATTGTTCAGGTTGAAACTTTTTTCCGTGCAGTGAAACTTTTCGTTGCAATAATAAAAGATATTATTACAAGCTACCTTAGTAAAAATGTGTAATAACGAATGTGATAAGAAACAACACTTTTAGTTGTTTACATACAAGACCCATAATGCGTTCAATGGAATGATGAAATGTTAGTTAGACATTTTATACGATTTCCTGGAAAAAAAACGCCGAATTTATCTATTTACAGGCACTCAGTTTAGTTAAATTTATTAATCAAACAAACAAGAATACAGGCGGAAGTCATGTACAGATATGCAGGAAACGCATGAGACTGCGTACACCCTGTTCAGGTACTTATTACGATAACAAACGACGAGTTATAAAGGAACATCATCAACAGTAGCAATCATAAGCAGTTAGCATTGTTCCGACGTCCCTTATGGCACGTGGCATGAGTTAACCATCACGCAAGCCAGCGTATCGCCGACGTTTTGTCGAGCTTCCCCCATGGCTGTACCTGCAGCCGCGCACCTGAGACTCGTTCCCGACAACGCCGCTCCAATATCAACCAAACTGGCATTTTTCCACCTCCCCTTCATTCGCCAAAGTTGCGTTTTGCCAGTTTGGTACTTCCTCCTACTGGAGTGAAACTTCCGCGGGCTCCGCGAATATCAAACTCAATGCAAAGTCAAAGTCGCTGACTTGCTGCGCGGGCTGCAAAGCGAATTTCAATATTCCTTGGGGAGGACAAATTCTAGGAGCCCTTTCAAATTCTCCGTAAAATTCACTGGTTGCGAAAATAAATTTCATACGAACGCGCTGATTAACTTTTCTTGGATTTGAAGATTTGACGATGTTATCATGAAAATGTTTATTAACAGGGTCGGCAAAATAGCTCTCGGCGAAAGGAATGGGTCGTTTATCATTTTCAGTTGCATCAAAGTCAGACACGTTAATTTACCTGGTAACGCGCATTAACGTAAAGAGGTAGGTAATCATTATTACGATGGGTTGATTACTTGTAATGGAGATTGCGGTATAAACACGTAAAGCGCTTATCCTCTATGCAAGACGCGCGCTAAAGTAATACATTGACGGGGGCTTCTAAAAACGCGCCGACTCGACGAAACACGCGCCGCATGGTTAGGCGGTGTAGGTACCTATAACTGCCGGGCACGGGCGAACCTCTATGCAACAGACAATTATTGTTCTCTTGCGCGTGCTCACACAGCTATCTCAATGGTTAAACTTATACCTATGCAGCACAAACAATATTTAATCTGGTATGGCTTTTAGGATTAATATTGTAATTTGCTTCATAGCTTCCAATTACTTCCACTTTAACTAAATCATGTCGAATTATTACTGTCATCTATATGGTACGTTATGCCACTATATATCCTTCCAATTACGCTAATCATACGTTTCGTTCGATTCGCAGATCACAATTCAGAATCGACTTGCAGATATGGAATTTCATCAATTGCTTCTTCTTCCCCTCAGATAATTCTATAAATTCAACTAGCATAATTCATTCTAACATTCTACAAGTTTCCAATTTCACTCTAAATCTGCTCTGAAAGAATAGAAGGGAGCTGGAGCGCATCGCTGCTTTTCAGGTGGGAAATTTTCATCGTTCCTTTTGTCGATGCCAGAACGCATCATAAGTCATATGGTGCTTTTCAATGACAGAGAGAGGCGCGCGTACAATGAGTCTCTTTGATTTTTCAAATCGGTAGGGATTTTTACGGAACCAACGCAACTCTTGTACTTACCAGAAATTAATAGATCGATCGATCGGAGAAAAGTCTTTTTTTTATTCAACGACCGAGACGTCGTTATTTCTTTTTTAATCAGCTGTATACAAGTATATACACTAAGTGCACCGAGTATGTAAAGATTGATCGGAAGAAGTCATTCGCAGAGCTCATTGTGGCATTTTCCTAGCGACAAGAAAACCGTGAAAATCAATATATCTGCATTCTTTACAAGTTACGGTTGCGTAAGCAATTGCACGCGAAGAGGAATCGCAATTGTCAAAACCAGCTTTGTACTTGCTTAGGCGTGTTGACAAAAAGGAAGAAAGAGGCCACCTGAGGGAAAGAGGGAGAAACGGAATTATCGGAAGCGCGTGGTGTGTGCGAGTCGCGTGCTCGCCCGTTTTCCATCTCGCTCTGTCTTTCTCTTTCCTTCCCTCTTCTCAGGTCATTGACTTGTACGCGCGCTCTCGGTGAATTTTTTGGGGCTACACCCTTGATTCATCCTTGTGGCTTTGTCACGCAATCTCTGTCTTTCTCTCTCTCCCATCGTAAACTGTTGCCGATAGGTATAGATGCGCGTTTTTATTATGGCTCACGCGCATCATCTGCTCGCTCCTCGCTTCTATTGGTTTTATCGATGTGCGGTATTCTCACCTGGCCCTAGTTTATCCTTATATTCGAGTGCACTTCCCCTCTCTCTCTCTCTCTCTCTCTCCCTCTTTCTCCTTCATTCTGATTTATATAATGAAATTATTTTCGTTCACCTTATCGCTGAACCTTTTTTTTTTTGAAAGGTTTTTTCGCTGGAACGCTCTGTTGGAAATTTGAGTTGTTCGTCAAAACTCGTAAAACCTGGGGCGCGCCCTTTGTGGGACTTATACACGTGCTGTGTGCAGTGAAAAGACTGACATGTGCAGCTTATGAAAGTATGTGCTCGTGCATATTTTAATAAATTATGCACCTGATTAACTTTTGCCTCGTTTTACCATCATTAACGCAAGAGCTTCGGAACTGCAAGTTTTACATTCAATCTTAAACTGTCCTTATTCTATTCGCTGGTAGAGACCATGATTTTAGAAATAATTACAAATTTGAAATTCAAGATACGAGCCAACTCTGTTAGCTTTTCCAGAGAATATGTGAAATTTTAGAATGCATCGCAAATAAAGTTCAAAGAACACGCGTGGAAAACAGGTTTTTGGGTTCTTGATATTGAAATTAAACTAAATCTTTCTCATAAGAAAGATTCAGTTTAATTTCTTGTTATCTCTCTCTAATTATCATAAAATATTACACGCTCCACTTACTCGTAAAATATTCAATCGCGTCATTAAACGGCCAGTATCGTACGGAATAATAACGAATGGAAAATACTATAATATTGAATAAAGAAAACAGCAATGATAAATCATCCGATGCGAAAGACCATCATTAATGAGAGAGGAAAACGCCAGTCATGAAAATTAGGCTTGTGAAGTTACGCATCGATCGTATGCGTACCTATATGTATATATATACTTTCGTTTCAGCTCATGAGTTTCGTTCGATTCTTCCGAATAGTCTCCGTCTCTCTAGGTCCGCACAGGGGCGCGCCGGGGACTCGGAAAATCAAGCGCCGAGCGCGCGCCCAGAACCCCCCCTCTTTGCCGCTGGATGTCCTGTTTTTTCCCTCTCCGCCTTTTCCCGTCTAGTCGTCTCTTTACAATTTTCCCCGGTATTGTGTTTCGTCAAACTGCTTTTTTTCACCGCTTGATAAACATATTCGTACCTGAGAACTGCCTTTATATTTACTCAATGCACGTTTTTGTTGTTGTTGGATGTCATACTTCAACCAGATCGATTGAGTACTCGACAAAGAAAGGCAAAGAAAGCAAATCGGTGTGAACGCACTGAATTCCAATTATGTCGAAGAATTTCGTTGAGATAAATCGACGTAATTGGGAAAGGAGTTTCGAGCAAGCAGGTAATTATTGTAATTTTCGTAAATTACAGCCAAAAATCAATATAAAACTTGACAAGATTGCCCCTAACCAGCATACACCCTTGAGTATCAATTCTAAATCAAAAGATTCGCGTCTGGTAATTTGTGAAACGTCAGCAAATTATCGACGGGTGCATGAGACAGACTCCGTTCCAATTACCGAATTCAATTCTTACAGCTGAATAATTGATTCAACCGACATAATATATATCCGTCGAATGAAAATCAATAGAACGTATATTTGTTGCTCTCGTTGAAAGTTTTACCGACTGTGCGTTGGCGAAATGGGTCGCAGAAACTTTTTTTTTCGAATGCCAGCTTTTCTCTCTATATTTTACAGTTGCCACGCATAACTTTGACGCTGCGCTGAAAAGAACAACACACTCCATATTCGTTACACGTGAACTCTATTTTTACGTCGACTCCGTAAACTTGAAACTTGAAAGGGCAATGCTGCATCCGTTCGTTTTCCTCTTTCTCCAAGAGAGAGCTTTTCAATTTTTGTGTTTTTCCGTTCCGCCAGGTGTTTGCACACTCTAAACGATCGAAAAGTGAAAAATAGCCAAATGCGAAGATGTCCTTTCAAAAGTTGGAAGGTCATGATGATACTATCAAATTGACATTCGAGCGAACTCTAGCTTATAGCTAGGCTTTTCATTCGCTTGGTCTCGGTATTTTACTCTGTCACCGGCACTTACGCTAAAAGCTCGAGCTCAAAAAGAAAGCTCGAGCCAAGAGGGTCTGACTTGCGACGGGAATTAACGAGTCAAGTAGGCGAAGGATTTGCCGCGCACGCGTCCTTCGAAGTGCCTTATACAGCTAGGCAACTGAAAGAGCTCAAAGAAGTTTAGTAGTATTAGCGCGATCATCGTGATTTATGCGAAGCCTGCATTTATTATGCTAATTTGTACTTTGTATTTCACTTTAAAAATTTCTGATACTCTATTACAATTCTATTTTCAATGTTCGTATTAATTAATGTGAAGTAGCAAAATTCGATGAGCAATTCAGTTGATCAGTGATTGCTAATAGCGAAAGAACATTTTCGTTGACAGACACTCTTTTAATAGCGTCGTACTTCAATTACTTTTGTAATTATGAATGAACAGAGAGTGCCAATTTCATGATTAGATCAGCGAAACTCAAATAAAACAGGTTCCTAGGAGCTTTTTAGAATGGTAATATATCGACAAGGCCACTATGAAGTCAGAATATTACTCATCGAAATGACCCTTTCGTAAAATCACTCATAACGTTTTTTTCAGTATTATTATCAAAGCTATTGAAAAAAAACGTTAATTTTAACTCAACTCAACTATAAGCGAAATGCCGCGATTTAAAATTTTATTTTGACAAGCAAAATATTTCATCGTATTCAACTTAATTAATTAATAACGTTTTATACATAAACGATAACGTTTGAAAATTAAATTTTTCACATCGTGCTCCAAAATAATGAAAGTACATTTTTATACCTCTTTTTAAAATTTTGATATTTTTAGCTACGGTCGAGAGCAAAAACTCACTATGTCTTTAAATGAATATTTCAATCATGCTGATACTTTTAATGTTCGAAGCACGCGATCATAGTGTAAACGGCAGAAAGAAATGTATCGAACGTTTCTCCTTGAATTGTACAACCAACAAAGGAAATAATAAGCTGCGTCTAAATGTAGCCGAAGATACGTTGCGAAACGTGTGAGAGGGAAGTTGCATGCCGACTATTTTTATACGGAGGCCCATTAGCGCCGACAAAGACTTCGCATCAAACCCTTCGTCGCCGGCTGCCCTAATGCTGTAAACAGAGACAGAGCGAACGATCTGGTCGAAAGGAAAAAAAACTCGGAACGGAAGAAAGGATGAGTCGTTAGAGTGATCTTGCACAGTGAGTTTCCCACAGGCATCTGTGTTTATAACGCGTCTGGGCGTAGTCGTTTCACACGTGCTGCTTCTATAACTATCATCCGTCAACGTTGACGTTTTAGCAGCTACTTATCCAAATAAATTATAAGACTAGCCTCGACGGTAACATTCTATATACACAGTTATGAGAATTAGGAAGGGCAACTTTAGATTTTAATTAATAAGAAACGAGGTTTACTTGCATGATCACTCGAGTGTATTATTTTTTTAATTAATCCAATACACTTATCGCATGAAATCATATATCTCAAGCTCTGTGTTCATTATGACATGGACAAAGTTTGCATGTGCAAGAAATAACGCTTATTATAAACCGTCACAGAAAAAAACAGAAACCACATTTGGATCATCGTTAAAAAGTTCAAGTTGGTGAAAACTCTAACAGCCGAAGTTAATGAGGTATTCGTATATAACAGTCATACAAAAAGTGACAGCCTGTCTTCGGTATCGGACATAATTTTAGTTTGAGGCAGATGAAAACATTAACGAGGACAAAGTAGTTTCCGTATCCCCCGTCATACTATACAATGCTCATGTAAAAAATTTCATAGCTAGGTTGTTTTATTAATTTTTTTATTTTTATTTATTATTTTAAGCACTTAAGAAATTCTACTAGAATGCTGTTACGATGTCCTCAATCTACCTTCCTTATTCGATTGTAGGACAGCAAACAACTATATAAATATAGGCTTGAAAGTAACTTTTACTCTGAAGCAAATTTAGAATCATCCATTTTAATAGTACACGTGAAAAAAAACTATCTAATTTGGAAAAGGCAAACAAATAACCCATATGCCAAACCATTGATTAAAAAATCACGCGCCAGGCACTAAACCAAAAGCAAGCGGTGGATCGTAACTCGGCAGACAATCTCGCGCAGACAAATGCGCGCCTGTGTGCTTCGAAATTATGCAAAAACCGAGTAGCGAGCGAAGAGAGAAAAAGAGAGAGATAGAGAGAGCGCGTATGTATGTGTGCTCGCGCGCGTGTGATTGTGTCTTGCGCGCGCGTGGGTACGCGCGTGCGTGCATTTGCACAAAGCCAGAGATATAACGGAAGAAGAGTATTGAGGCCGTAAATCGCAGTCGTTTACGGCATGCAAAATTTGGACTCTGATGCATTGCAATTCGATCGATGCACACTCTCTACCAGTGTACATGTGTTTATGTTGCTCTATTTTATTCTATATATAATACATTCGGAATAATCGAAACTTCACTATGGTGCATTCGAGGCACGAACGCTCGCTTTTCATTTCGAGTGTTTGTGTGTAGCTCTGAACGACAAACAAAGAGACATAGATTATTTTTTTCAGGAGCCCTTCGCCGTACACCTCGGAAATCTCTGCTGCGCGAGCGACTTTTGTTTTCCTACACGGTTTCTCGCGGCACATCCCGCTAAAACTTTCCATTTTTCAAACAAGCGATAGTTATGAATATTGAAGATGCAGCTGAGCCTTTTTCATGCAAATCACTGATATACACGTGAAATTCGTACAAGAGAAGGAAATATTTATTGGGCGTGCGTGAATAAATTGAAAACCAATAGCTTTTTAAATGTCGATAAAAATCTATAGCTTTCAACATTGAAATCTTTGCAAAAAGGATAAGTTTTTAAGAATAAGTGCCTGAAGTATTTTCAACAACTTTGACATACCTCTTGGCACAGCTTGATATATTTTATGCTACTCTTCAAAATTGCAAGTGAAAAGTGTTAACATAACCGTACTCCATTCAAATTTCAACCTACAATGTACGCTTTTATTAGAACGCGGAAGAAAAAACGTGGAAGAAAAAACATTGATTATACCTGCTGCATCGAACGTACCTTCCAAAAACCATTCGTCATCAGAGTGTACAGCATCTTCGATGTGGAGCGTTTTCAAAGGCAGACATTGCTTCGCAATCAATCATCATCACAGCTCAATTTCTCAGTGAACCAACGACGACATCACACTCGGGCTCTGCTCCCGTACTTCCTCGACGCTATGTGATAGGATATACATTGAAAAGCCCCAAGAGGTTGCGAAATTCATCAATCTATCCGAGGCATCGACAGCAGCAGCAGCAGCATCGGTCGCCTTGCACAAAGAGCAGCGAAAAGGTTTCTTCTTTCTTTTTTTTTTTTTCTTTTTTGCAAAGTAACCGATGGGAGGAGAGCAAACGAAGGAAAAGGAACAATGGCGACGTATGCCTGTAATGAGTCCCTTTGGCTGCGCGCACTATGATCTGTCTAGTGCCCGAGGTGCCAGCGAATCGTCGAGTCGTCGACAATGCATATGCTGGGCACAGCCACTTGCGCGCTTCGCTGATTACATGTCTCGCTTTTATAGTTGCGTGCTACGCGAGTGGAGAGAGGCTTGTCTATGCGTCAACAACGAGATCTCGATCCACTGATAACATCCTACCCGTTATACAATTGTACGTATCGGAATATACATTTAGGTATAATGCTTGTGAACTATATTGGATAATTATAGATATCAGTTTGAATATTGTTATTTTTATTTTGCTCTAAGGTATTATTAATCTATCCTGAAGATAAACTGCTTTCTTATTGCAACTCTTTTTCTTTTTATTGCGTCTCTATTTCGACCCACTTATTCTGCTGCAGCATCATTTCGTTTGTTTTCATTTAGTCACGTACAAGTTAAATAAAACGACTATGTACCAATTTTCAAGTACGAGTTAGTTGACTTTATAAATATATGTACGTACTTGAAGTTCCAATTTTTTATATTATTTTTCGATTTATTGAGACTTCATCAAAACTTGTTTTTAGCCAAGTAAATGAATAATAGAGATTGAAACAATAGTTGAAATTTATTTATCGAAAACTGATTGATGTCCACGACCTCCGTATCCGATTGTTATTAAATCAAGATAATGGTGATCTTCGAGATTTGCTCTCGGTGATTCATTCTACGTAGTTTATCACAAAAATGTTATTCAATCTCTATTAGGTAAGTAGCAATCGAAAAAATGTTATATAAACTTTTATGATACAGCAAGAACGTCATTAACTTCATTCCTGTTTACGTACATTACCAATATATTTATTATTGTACAAAATAACAAGGCATATCTGTTTTACTTACTCGATAATTTGAGTATAATGAACAAAATTGAAAATTCAAACAATAAAATATGGCTTGATTTCTTTTATATGTATTTCACTTAATAAACTATTTAGAATCAAGGAGAATCCCTTATTTGTTGTATTTAGCAAAAAAATCATCGAAGAGTTTTGCAACGTAATATATACACAATGAACTATACACGAACTTACTTTTTACTAGTAGATCGTAAATGCTATATAATGCCACAAAATCGCCGATTAATGTAAAATTTTCTTTGCGGATAATAATTTAAAACGATTTAATATACCAAAATCAATTGTTTCTCATAAAGACTTGTCGGCTCATAAAAACTTTTCAATAAGAAATAGTATTGAGGGATTCATTAAAATAGGTCTTCACATGATGCCTCGCGCAAAATTCTTGAATTCGTAGACAAGCCTCCTCCAGCATTTCTTGCGGCACGGTGATCACCAATCTCATGTACGATGGATAATCGAAGCACTAAAGTACACAGATAAAAATGGCATTTTGAATAATCCAAAAGAAAAAGAAGAGCGACGGTGAAAAAGTGGATATGAATCATACCTGTCCAGGTAAGCAGAATACAGATTCCTCGGCCAAAAGTCGCTTAACGAACTCGAGCTCGCTATTGAACTCTGGGAAGCTTGGCAACTCGATGTGCACCTGCGTGTAAATCATGCGGATTCGATTACGCGCGCCAGTCATTTTGAACTGCCTGTCGTCGCGAGCCAGCGAGCACTCGATCAATATTGTGCCGAGATGTTGGGCACGCGGCACGAATTAAAAGCAAGGATGAGCCGCCGTTGTGTAACTTTCGCCGTGGCCCGCGGCAGGCGCGCCTTCGGAAAGTTCTTCTTCTTCTTCGGTTTTCACCTTTGTTCGTTGAGCGATTGCCGGCAAAACAAACATTCCCGCGAGTGCATTCTTTAGACCGCGCAGATAATTACGAGTCTGCGTACTTTGAAAGAACTCTCGCGCGAAGGAATCGTCCAATTTCTACGGGATTCGCGACATGCGGGATCAACGATATGCAACGTGTAAAATAACTAACTATCTAGCTCACCATCATATACATGGCGCCGTTCGGCTTGATGGGCTCCAATCCAGGAATTTTCGAGATGTAGCTGTAACTGAGCGTTGCATGCGCCTGTCGATAAAACATCAGAATTGTTACTGTCTCGACGATACATCCACGTGTCAGCGCGCATCTCTATATACGTAGAAGCCACCACGAAGAAGAAAAAAGAAACATATATACACATTTATCCCGTGAGAGCTTGACATACGTTCGTCTGCTACTACCGTTGCCACCTATATATCTACGCTACAGCATGTGTAATCGGATAACCGATTCTAGTATACGTACGTACACCTCTAATATACAACTGCGCTTCAAATCCAGACAGAACTCGGTTATCGCATTTCTCGTTTTTTCATACGGTTTTTCTTCGCCTGTACTACACACAATCGATCGATATGTTTTCAGAGAAACTAGAGTAAACATTGGTTCTTTTGCGGCTAGGTTTTTTTCAGAATAAATTCATTTATATTTTATCTCAAGCCAATGAAATTCAAAAGACAACTTCGTATTTGTAACTTATTGATTGGTTAATCGATTTGACATTGTATTAAGTTTGCAATTCAGCAAAAAGCGCATGTTCAAATGAATCGATTCAATGCTGAAAATGTCCAATGTTCGTAGTAAAAGTTAACGGATGTAATCGGGCCAGTCAACTGTATAAATTTAATCCAGGATATTGCATCTGCCCGGTATAACAATGTATTAACAATGCAAACTGTTTCACCTTTCGACCTACTTACGTTACAATGTAAATACATTTGAAAGAAATGTCATGTACGTTAAATACGGAAATTGTTCAAATCGCTAATGATCAATTATATATCTAACACAAAGGAGCTTTCTCCCTCCGCATGATTACCTCCAGACATCTCCGTAGTTCTATCTGTCTGTCTGTCTCTCTCTCTCCCTCTCTCTTTTACCTCACTAACACGTAAGCTATATTCGGAGAATAGAGCACGGTTACTCGATGAGCTGACATATTTCAGCGCGATCGAGTCAATTATTGCGTTACATCGAGCGAACATGCACCACCTCATACCTCATTTCGGATACATCGCCAGGAATAAAAAGTGTATTTTGCGTAGTACCATTGTTATTGAAACCTCTAATTTCTTCGGTATGTGAATAAAGAGATGTGCATGCATATTATTAATTATATGTACTCGCATATCATCACAGAGTAATTAATGCGCGATATAATGGGAAAGCTTTCATTTTCAAATGCATATATTGAGATCCGGTGATCGTGTTTATACAGACGTGTTGAATTACCGAGGTTGAATCGACGATGTATTATACTAAAATTTGCTTTATGTATTTGTTATGCACAATCACAATGATCGCAAATGCGAAAAGGAAAATGAAAATAAAAAATTACTGAAAAATACAAAACGCTAATCACATTATTCGCTAACTGGATTCCCGATCGAAAAAACGAAATACGCAAACGAAAAATAATTTATCAACATTATTGGATTAATTCATTCATTCTCGCTCGTATACCAATGGGTTTTCCAATTTGTCAAGCACTACTTACGTAACTGATGTACGCGAAACGTAATTTATCATACGTAAACAAATTAATTATCACATTCCGGTCGCACTATACACGGCCAAGAATAATCAAGCAAGCAAAGTTGCGTATTACTTGAACAATCATAAAGCGTAAAGCCAGGTCTCGCAAACGAGCCGTTTGCAAATTTATTTGAATGTACGTACAATCCGCATACAGGAGCCATCGTGCGCGGGTAGATATGTGTATCATACGATGTCGCGTGACAAACGTCGTCGTCAAGTTAATTAATCAGACATGTACATACATTTGGAAGCGCGTGACTGCCGCGGGATAAATCTCGTCGTTGCCTTTAGCATGCCATGTGCTAATTAATTATTTCGCAAAACGGAGAAGCTCAGTAAGTTAATTATATTAAATTGTAAAGGCCGAAATGTAATTGGACATATATGCCAACGAGTTGGGGAACGCGAGGCGCACAGTTGTAATAGCGTTTCGGTATCGTCGGTACGATATCCCTGTTAGATTACATCGTCTAGACGTGTCAAGGCTATGATATATACTCACGTCCAAAGTCACGAGGATATTGTCGAAGTACCTCTGCGGAGTATTTTTTAAGATTTTCGGCAAAGCGCCTTGGACAATGGTGTTACTGCCGATTATTCGTTGGCTCAGGCATTGCAAAGCTTTTCTGATCTGCAAAAGAAGGGAATAATCGCGGTAAGATCGATGACGAGGGCCAGATTAGCTGCGAGAGCTTGCGGTAATCCGATTAAAATTTATTAATCGGCAAATATATGATCGCGGGTAAAGCAGAGGGCTTTTATCGAGACTTCCCATCAAAGAGAGAGGATCCTCGCGGCCAAATTAATTACAGAAAGTTCGCGGCGGCGAGAGCGCTCGCGCTCATCTCGAGAGGCACTCGACTCATCTTTTAATTCTCGCGAGGGAGAGACGCCGCGCAGCGTGAAGGGAAGCGCAAGTTTAATGACGAATTAAACTTTTGCGCGAGCACCACGGCTGAGGGCCCGGAATGTACTCCAATCGTCTCTCGTTTAGGGAGACCCCCGAGGGCGCCACCTTCACTTTGTTACGCATAAGTTGCCTTCGCACCCTTCCTACTCGGAGATCATTGCCACGCGATACCAACAGACATTTCAGCCTTACTTACTTCCTTATCTAATATACCCTGGCGGTCGTGAATGATTATCCAGCCCATTCGCCAGCCTGGTACTAAAAACCTGCAAGTACATAAACGTTTAGTGGAACTACATTATTTCGCTCATTTTTTATCGGTCAAGGCGCGATAAAACACGCAAGTAGTTCGACGCAAATCTTCTGTTTCATCCCATTCACGTTTCACGGGATAAATCATTATCACACGGCACTTTATTGTCGATAACAACAGTTTTTATTCTTTGCGAAGATTTGGTCTCGTGCAAGCGTTCGTTATCGATTCACAGAATGCTCTCAGTGCGAAAAATCAAGCACCGAAAATTCCAATTCCACCGAAACTACACGATTGTCTTCAGCGTTTGATTTTAAAATTTAGAATAGCTTGCGTTTATTTACCCTAAGTATTTTCTTTTCTTTTCTTTTTTTATCTTTTGAAAATAAGGGCAAAAATCATCTACGAAATCAATTGAATTTATGAAACTAATGCTCGGTAGCTACTCAAGCTCTATTAAACAAGTTAACCAAGTGAATAGCGCAGAGAAAAGGAAAGGTAAAAATAGACGGGTAATTGAAATTTCTATTCGTTGTTTAAAGCTCTGCAAAGTAAACGACTTTGTATACCTCTTCGTGAGTCCGCTGCAGGATAGAATAGGAACGTGGCTGGATAAAGACGCTAACGAGTAGAACGTCCTCCCGGGAAATACCTGGCGGCAAACGTCTAATCAGTTTTATTCAGCAATAGAATAAGTTATCATTATATTAGCGCGTGCTTCCGCGCGAAATTCAGCGTAGAACTCTAGAAATACAAATGTGCAAGCAGCGGCTCTATGTTTTTTCTATCTCACTTGCAAAAATATTATCATTAATTTTCTACTTGAAAATATACATCGCGCAGTCGTCCTTGTATGATTTTCCAAATTTCATGTCACGCGACTCCGTGAAACTCAATGAAGTAACAATCAAATGTGTAATTACCATGTATTCGTAAATTTCGTCGGCAATAATAGGAACGTAATACTTGGCGGCAACGTCGAGTATATCGAGCAGGTGATCTCGACTGAAGACCGAACCGCAAGGGTTGGAGGGATTGTTGATGATAATTGCCGCGGTGGATTCGTCGATTTGCGTCTCCAGGTCGTCCAAATCGACTTCCCAACCGAGCTCCGGCTGAGACAGGCAGACAGACCAATTAATATTAATATACCTTTCGCTCCGCTTGTACATACATCAGCTCCGTGCCAATGCAGAGGCGGAATTGACTTTGATATACTCACTCGAAGGTTGTAGGAGCGCACGGAGACGCCCAATCCCTCGGCGAGCGTTCGGTAAATGGCAAAGCCTGGACGGGGTATGAGAATGTTCTGGCCCTCGCGCGCCAAGGCCGTGATGCACAGGTCTAAGGCGCAAGAGCAACCGCTGCAGAGCACTACATCCTGTGGATTTATTATTTCATACGTGAAAGCTAATCTCTGATTCGAGCAGAAAATCTCGAGGCTCATGGAGAATTTATCATTCTTCTTCGTTTTTTATTGTTCATGGTTCGTTAGTTTCATTACACGATGAACGGCGAATCTTCCAAGTGCTTAAAATAATCATCTGGGCACGGACTGAGATCGACTGGTGCATCGAAAATATCAATTCAACGTAAAATGATATTTAAATAGATGCGCCGATCTGTCGCGACAGATATTTCGAAGATAACTTTGTTAATAAGAAATTCACAACAGAATCGTGCATATTCACGAGCGTGTCTGTCGAAATCGTAAATCAGTGATTTCTTATCAGCACAAGGAGCACACAAATAATAGAAACTTCGTGGACCGTTGGAATGCAGGCGCACGCTTGCGGATACATTTCTCGCGAAGTCGGACGGACAAATAAAAGTGGAAGAAAGGGAAAACAACGAGTGAGATTTGTTCGAATGCGCGCCGTAGGCCAGGAGTCGCCAGTCGGTAAAACGTAACGTAGACGTCGCCTTTGTCTCAACCCTTAGAATTTTTAAGGACTATTAAAGGGCAAGGTTCGCGTAAGGGGGTTGGTAGCTCTGGAGTGGCCTTGCGTGCCTCGTTAGCGGTCTCGCGTCTAAAGGGGCGAAATATATACGTATATCCTTTTACGTCGCGTTTATTACCCTTCTTCCGCCTTTACTTGTTTTTCATTCCACCACTTGTTTTTTATGCAATATAAAGTCTGGCTGCTGCTCCAATTCTACTCTGGACGGTGATTTTCTGCTAATGTCGACTTTTCAGTACGTTTGGTGACGTTACAATACGTTTTTATAAATTAGGATGAACTCGAGGATAGGAGAATTTTGAAAATATCTTTTTACATATGTCACAAGTTAACGAATAACTTACTTTTGGATCAACTGTAACGTTCTCATCTGAGCTATACTCTGCAACTGCGCGTCTAGCCTCTTCGTAACCTATACATAACATCATCATAGCAAACAATGCTAATAATTATTTAGTTGTTATAAACAAATTTTTTAAATAAAATACTAATTTATTATATTGATACTCACCGGTACTTGGAGCGTAACCATTATACAGTTCAGATTCGAGGCTTTCTTTTACGGCTTCAATAACTTCTCTTGCCGGTTTCAGATTTCCGAAGATTGTAGGATCACCTGCGTATAACGATAAATTAAGAAAAAACAGTTGTTATGGAAGTTTTGCGTCCTATGATTTGAAGCACTTGACGAAGCTAATACATTTTTATACGCTTTTTTGTCATTTTATGAACTTATCACCAGTATCTCAATCGTACAATTTGAAAAAGTATCTTTTTTCCGGTTTCGTGGAATCTATTGACGGGTTTTTATATTATTTCTAGATTGAATAATTTATCAGACTGACATATGCTTTAACATAATCAAGACACGTGAAAATTTCGTAATTTAAAAGATTTTGAAAATTGAAAACTTCATAGCTGAGAGAGTGCGTGTAAAAATTTGCTGGTATTTTCGTTATTAATAATATTGGTAATAACAACGATATACGCGACGACTATTTGCAGCCTACGATTGAGAATATATTATGTACGAAGCAACTACAGCTAAAAACAATGAGTAACAAATATAAAAGTTCTAGGAGTATTACAAAGATTTTGCAACGTGATTTCTCACGTACAAGTGCACAAGTAATTTACGACAGACGACTTTAAAGCGAACGATATTCCCGAGAGCTAACATGAACGGTTACTTGGTAAGAATGGTTACAGCAGAATTTACACGTTTGCGCGTTAAAACGTTTGAAGCGTTACTTGATTTGTCTTCCAAATAACCATTTACTTGCGTGGCAAACAAAAGGTAGTGGGCTGATAAATTTCGTTCGAGTGCACGCAACTGAGAGCGTACTTAACACTTATCGTAATTGACTCGTCGAACGATTCTTAATGAGCTCGTGCTTGTGGTTTTGCTCTTTTAAATAATTATAAATTTCAATTTTTAATTGAAAATTATAAATTATAAATTTCAAATTTAAATTAAAAAATTACAAATTTTTCCGATAAGTGTCATTTTTAACATTCAACGTTGTCGATATTTAATATAACAAAATTACAAGGTTTGATTATATTTTCAAAACTAATGAAAAAATATTATGAGCAGCATATAAACATTAAAAATGTCATACTATGAGAAACTTTCTTCTATATTAGCGTTTACAGTGTGCATTAATTGAAATTCTCAATTTGAAATGTTGAAACTCTATATTGAAATTCATGTCATAATAAAAATCGGCATGGCTGACAACTTTTTTGTTTTCTCGTGCAAACACATAATCTTTAAAGTGTAATTTTTTTTCTGGAAACTTCAACTAATACAGGTTATTACGTAAAAATGAAAATCGAAAGTATATTACGAGGATATCTGATTTGGCGAGTTAACGTATAGATGTGATGCAATAAAGATTCAATGATCTTGAAAGTAATATGTTACAACGAACGATAAAAAGTGAAAAACGACAACTCACCAATAGACAAAGCAATCATAGGTTTGTCTGGATTTGGCTCGACAACAATATTTTCGACGATCGATCTGATCGGATTGTGAGTCCGTTTGGCGATGAGCGACGCTTGCACGTCCCATCGTTCACGCGACGTTGTTATTGCGTTTATCGACATCTCAAGCAAGTTGACGTTAATGGAAAATTTATTTCACGTCTAAAGCCAAGCTTCCCGGTAAAAACGATTTCTCGAGCGCGAAAACAGAAAACAAAGTCTCGGCAGTCAAGCGACACAACGCGCCAGCCTCGAGTACGAGCTTAGTTTAACTACGCTTTAAACAGCAGCAACAGCCAAACGTCGAGAAACTTCTTGCTCATTCGAAGAAAAAAGAAGAAGCGAAGTGAAGCCGCGTCTTGGGTACTTTCTCGAAACAGCTGTCTTGGGTGGCGTCTGATACAGGACTCTTGAGGCAACCTAGCGCGTTTGGAGAGGAAAAACAACACACCGGGCAAAGGATTAACGATCTGAGCTCTCGCACTGGAGTGGCGACCGTTAATATCAACTACTGGTAGTAGGCGCGTGTGCAAGCTGCATTGACGCGAAGGCCGGAGGACGATCGAACCGGTCCGATTGGTCGGATTGTCGATCCACGCCTTCTTTTATAATTAGCTGTGGTAAACTACTCGATTATACCACTCCACGCGATTTTTTTCACTACCTCTTTTGTTTTTAATTCTAAATTCGTGAAACGGACGAGCCTACCGCTCTATCGATCATCACAAGACGATCGCTATAGGCTGTTCTTACTCAACTGACCGTCGCTAGCACAACTCTGTCTTTTCACGTGAAATTTCAACGCGACATAAAGTCCCATCGAGGAAAATACCTGTGAGGCTACACACACACACGCGCGCGCACACAAACACATGCACACGTACTACGCAGTTTTTTTCTGGATTGCTAAGACCAGTTTTCGAGACTGGCATCTAAAAATTTAACGGCCCCGCTTATCAATAGACGCGAGCTAGCTTATTACCAATGTAAAGTAATCTAGAGGGGGGGGGGGGGGGGGGGGGGGAGAGAAGTAAGGATATTGATCTGTCGCGCCGAATGGCTCAAGGGCTTTGCTCACCGCTACTTACTAGAATTCACAAGTTTTCGTCGTAAAATGCCGCCCGTCAGGATTTCAAAATATATGATGTTTCCGGGGGCTCGCCTCGCATCTCATTTCTCTTTTCTCCCGCGAAAATATTTATGCCATGCCTGGTGCGACACGTGCCACGTCAGGCTGCAAATATTCAGCAAAATAAAATGCTAATTGGACAACCCGATCTTCCGATGCAAAGTAAACAGTGCATGGCTCTCTACGGGTTTCGCGTTTGAGCGCCGCTCGTGCAGATAAATATTCACTGGCGTCAGTGTCGCACGATCATCGTGCCATTAACATTTTTTAATCGATCGCTCAAGCAACTATCGACACGCGTACGTACCCACGTTAGAATCTTAGAGGCAGCGCTGTTGATACAATTCATTTGATTATAGCATTCGTTATAGTGAACTATTTTTATGTAAATAAGCCAATGTAAAATCATTCAACAATAAGCTAAGTTAATAATGAACCAAGCACTTTCACGGCAAATTTATGATTATTTTGTGCATTTTGTGCATTATCTATTTGCGCTTTATGTCTTAATTTTACATTTTTGTATCTTTTTTTGTGTACTTTTACATTTGGGAACAAATACACCGGTAAATATTTGTAATTTAAAAGCATTTTCTTTTGCAGGACCGGCACTTGTTATATCATTTCATAACTAATTCTTTCAAATTAATTATTAACACTAATCAATGAAATACAAAATATTACTTATTGATAAATAAACAAAACGCACGTTTATTATTTCCTAGAATTTAATTTACAAATTTCTATATATTATAACATAAGTAATTATCAGAAAAATAAATCTGCAAAATTGTTTTAGAGTTGTTCTAATTAACTTTGTAATTTTCACTAAAAACTAATGCATTAATGACTACGTAATCAACAAAATATTTAGCATGATCATGTTAATTGAAATCGTTCTAAGCAATGATATTCTGAAAGTTAATTATTTTTTAACTTCATGATTTTTTCAAACTCTTATCCGGTTCTCGTAGTAACTATAGTAAACACATAAAAAACTGTGTTGTTGAACATTAAAATGAGTTCAGTGTCTGACTAACAATATTGACTTTGGTTTAGATTGCTTGTTTTAAGTTTGAGGTTGTTGATTAGAATTTCTTATGCATATACAAAATGTTTATAAAGGAATAGTTAAATTTTCTTTATATAATATCTAAAACATTTTTTTATCTACTCTTATAGATAACATGACGTATAAACTTACTTGGCGACACATTCAAAAAATAATCCATTTAAACTTAAAAAATTTAATGTCTATAAAAGTAGTTATATAAATTCGACAATAATAGTAGCATAAAATAAAAACATACTACGATTTATCAAATAATCGTATAGTAACTTGAACAATAACAGTATGATTAATCATGCAAACATTTATTAATAATTTCAAATAAATCTATTTTTCTTGAATTATTACTTAAAAACATGTGTTCGAGGCGCACAATATTTAAAATAAGAGTCAAATTATTAATAGGAAAATTGGATTCGTTATTCGTTATACGTCTCGATCACAGGTATAAAATTAAAGGTAATAAACGGGCATTGGCTATGTAGCAAAATACCTATATATTTAAATATTTGGCTCCACTCGAGATTACCATGTTAACATTCGTTTACATTGTTGTCATACAATAAAAATATACAATATAATTTGATGTCGGAAGTGTACATGGTACGATAACGAGAATCAAAATTTTTCATTTACTAGACTTGTACGTGATACAATATAAATATACAAATATATATATATAGATTTTATTTTACATGCTAAGTAATATGCTAAGGCAGATTTTGGGGGGCAGTTACAAAAGTAGTAAAAAGACAAAAAAAGTCTAACGAGAAACACATTGATAAGTAAAGAAATAAACTTGATTCGTTTAAAAATAGTTCAAGTGTAAATCTGCTTTGGAAGAAAAGAAAATATCAAAAAGATTTTGTAGAATAAAAAAGCGGTAACGTTCAGTAGAGCGTTACCGCTCTACTGAATCTATAGCGTAATTTTATATAAAGTCATCAGCAATGCACAAATAAAGTGCATCGATCGACTGGTATTCTCATTGGCGCGCGCGTTTCTTCGAGAATCAAAACGTTTTACGTATTCTTTAAGCAAACTTGACAACGACTGATGCGCGAGCGCAGATTGCCTGCCTTAAGCGTTTGCTTCTCAGGCTTCTGGAATTGATCGCGGTCCTCGATCGTGGCCATCCAGAAACTGAACTCGTTCGCATAGTAATGGCAGTGTCCTTTGGCACCGTTGCACTCAATGAACGGTGTAGCTCGGAAATCTTCCAGACAAGATCCCGGACTAGATAGCGACTGTCCACCTCCTTGCGAGCCTGCTCCAGTGTGCTGAAAAAATATAATGTTATTTATTTTAGAAAAACAACGCGTTGTATTTAGGTTTCTTCCACCGTGGTATCACTGAATTTTCTCGTTCAAATGAATTTTTTACAGATATCGAAAAAACTTACCATTACAAAACTATATCCAATCCACATGCCAGACCATCCGTCAGGGCAATCAGGAATGCTTAGTGACTGACTGTGAACAGCGATTACGCTTGCTGGAACCTCACAGACCACGCACCTGCAATGAAAATCAATTATTTTCAGACCTCTCACAATAAATCAATTACATCGATGTTATGTTTGAAATGTAATATGAGAACAAATTTGTAGTATAGGATATGCAAAATATTAAAATTTCAAAATTAAATATAGTTTAAATTAGTCATGATTTTAATTACATCATGCAAAAGAGGATCCTTTATTGGATCTTAAGAGAGTTCCTTACTCCCAAGATTCTCAACTAGGTCTCTCGCGTATTGAAAAATTGATTGCTGTGTTTGGCCGACTAGCATGAAAATAACGATTAACATGTTGAAACAAAAAAATTTCAAGACATTCCTTAAATGATCAACTTTCTTATAGCCTTTACCGTAAATCGATATCTACGTTTGTTTGTCCGGAAAAAATTATAACCTCAAAATGTTTTAAATGCGTAACTTCTAATGATTAACTGTGTGACGAATTTTTAAAAATCCAATATATATCGACGCTGCATAGTACATAAACATTCCAAAAATGTATATATCAATTTTAAAATTTTAATATTTATTAGAAAAAATTATAGGATTGGTTTAATGAATTGATGTTGCACCGTGGCACCGATTCTTATTTGGATCTATCTTATTTTTAGATAAATAATATAATGAAAACAATAGGTATGTACGTTGTTTAAGCGTTATTAATATTTATAAAATTCGATGCCGTGGCGCAACATTAATTCACTAAGTCGATCCTATAACTTTTGCTAATAAGTAATAAAACTTCAAAATTGATATACACATTCTTGAGACGATTATATACAATGTAGCATCAATATATATTTAAAATTTTTTTTTGTTACATTTCGACAAAAACTATAAGAAAGTTGACCATCTAAAGAATGTCTCCAAGATTTTTCACTTCAATATACCAAACATTCTATTCATATGTGCGAGTCAAACATAACAATAACTTTTTTAATATGTGAGAATCCTAGTTGCGAATCTTGGAAGTAGAGAACTCCCTTAAATTACTAAGAAGTTGTATTTTTAGTACTATTATCAAGTATAAGTTCTGAGATCTCTATATTGGTTTTGATAACTCCTAAACTTAATATATATTATAGTAAAGAGAAATGTGTTTCCTTAATATGATTGAAGTACCTAGGCTATTGTCTAGGACTTTTGCGCAAATTAAAAGTGAGTACATGACATTTTAAAAATAGTACTTTGCATACCTAGAAATATATTCCTCAATGGCATGTTCTTCCACAGGCATCATTGGAATAGGGCTGTTTGTCGATAACCAATAAGATCGATCGTTTCGGCTAGCATAGTGACAAACGCTATTTACGTCGCAGAATAGGAAAGGCATAGTCGAGAACTTTCTTACGCAGGAGCCAGCATAACCTGTTTGCCAATAAAATTTATAGACCAAATTAACTAGCAGCATATAAGAGTGTACTGCACGTATAAATATGTTTTCATTTAAGATTAATTTTACGCAATATATACATTCTTAAATTCATGTAATGTAGGATTAATCGTAGAAATAAAAAGGATGTATTAATTTGTATACCTAAATCTTGAGAATGTGCTCTTTCATCTCCATCCGTATATAGAAGACTGTACCCTTCCCACAGTTTTACGTGACCGCGATCGCATGAGGGCACTTGTTGACTTTGACTGTGTTTTACAAGTAAAATGCCTGTCAAGTAATCTGGTTGTGTTTCGCATGGCAAGCCAGGTTCACCGATAAGACCTGGCGAACCTGGTGGTCCATCAAGTCCTGGAGGTCCAGGAGGTCCTTCAAGACCTGACGCTCCTCGCAATCCTGGCGCTCCAGGTGGACCAGCAAAACCTGGCATTCCTTTTGGTCCGTCAATACCAGGGAAACCTGCTAATCCTTGTTCTCCTTTAGATCCAGGTGATCCAGGTGGTCCAGGTGGTCCTTAAAATCATGGAACACCATTAATTTATAAATTCATTGTACAATGATTGGAATATGTAACTTTTTGACAGATCACACTAAATATACCTTGTAATCCACGGTCACCCTTTTCTCCTCGCTCTGACGGCAAGGCTAAGCAAGCGTCTCCCTTGTCACCCTTTTCACCATCGTAACCAGCAGATCCTTCAATTCCAACTGGACCGGTGAAACCTCGATCTCCCTTTTCACCCGGCAAGCCTTGGATTCCGGGGAGACCGTCTCTTCCCCTGTCTCCCTTTTCTCCTTGCATTCCATCCATTCCATGACGACCTAACAAATATTATTGTTGATAAAACTAATCTAATTATAATAAGCAAAAAGGAAATCATAACCAAAAAAAAAGTTACCTGGGAAACCAGGTTCTCCCTTCTGCCCAGGAGATCCGAAGAGCCCAGGAGGACCTTGATCACCTTTCTCTCCTCTTTCACCAGGTAATCCTGGCATACCCTCATTGCCCGAAACTCCATCTCGTCCAGGTGATCCAGTTGGGCCTGGTAAACCAGAATCTCCTTTCGGTCCTTGCGGTCCAAGAGGTCCAGGCAAACCGATATCTCCTTTCAATCCTGTTAGTCCAGGTAAACCGCGTTCTCCTTTCTCTCCTGATATTCCCGGATAACCATCTCGACCATGTTTGCCCGGAAGTCCAGGTAATCCCTTTTCTCCTTTTACAGTAAGACCCACTGGACCCATAGGACCAGGCAAACCTTGATCACCTAAAAAAATTACAAAAACGATGTTTATTAACAGAAACGTCTATATAATGATAATGTATGTAGCATCGAAACTATTTCATTAATTAATCAATTCATTGATCAGTTAAACATTTCTTTGTAGCTTGTTACAAAAAAATGTAATTGTATAAGTTACAAAAAAATGTTTGATTAATTAATTGATTTTTATGAAAATAACTGATTTCTCGAAGTAGCTAACCTTTTTCTCCGGGGAGACCTGGAGGTCCTGCAAATCCTGCATTTCCTGCATCACCCTTATCACCCTTTTCACCAATAAATCCGGGTGGTCCTGGGAATCCAACATCTCCCTTCTCACCATCACGTCCAGCATATCCTGGCAACCCAGGTTCACCCTTCTCTCCTTTTACATTTACGGTTAATCCAGGGAGACCACGATCACCTTTTTCTCCCGGGACACCTTCATAACCTGGTAATCCTATCAGACCTACAAGATAAAATTGTCTGTTAATTTTTAGAATCGCAAGATAAAATTACAAGCTTTAAACTGCATTTCAATTTTGTAGTACACCGAATGTGAAGTAGGCAGAAAGCTTATTGCTAAATCTAGAGTTGCGCATATATCAATAAAACAGAAAAATAAAAGTTGTATTATAAAATATAAAACGATACTACTAGTGTGAAGAAATTTCACTTGTTTATTGTTTTTTCACTATTACTTTATTTGAGTAAAAATATTCTCACTGAGAAAGAATTATTTTATCACACTAGTATCGTTATTTGTTTAATTAGAAAAATTATAAGTATATTATAAAGAGATATAAATAGTGTAATTATTTCAACAGTAATATAAATAAACCGATACCTTCTGGACCCATATCTCCCTTAGGCCCGTCTATACCAGGTCTTCCAGGAGCACCTTTTTCACCGTCTAAACCAGGGAAACCAGCCGGTCCCGCAGGTCCAATATCTCCTATCTCGCCGTCTCTACCATCTAATCCGGGCAGACCTGGCTCTCCTGGCTCTCCAGGGAAACCCTGAAAGTATTCAATTAGAAGGTTATACTAAAATATTTTTAATATTTCGTCAAATAAATTTTATTTTTTAAAAGCCTATGTCCAATTAAAAAAGGTATATATATATATATATATATATATATATATATATATATACATGAATTCCACAACATTTTCTAAAAGCGTATTATTACAACAATTTTCTAATGATTTTAGTCAATAATCAAAATTATTTACAGTGTCTCCCTTTTGTCCTGGGTATCCGTACGAGCCTGTATCACCTTTCATTCCTGGCTGTCCAGGAATGCCATCTCTTCCTGGCAAACCTGGCTCACCCTTTTCTCCAGGTAGTCCATCGCGGCCATAACCAGGTAAACCAGGGGCGCCTTTCTCTCCATCGAAACCATCTCGTCCCGGTGCTCCCTGAGGTCCTCTTATACCTGGCATTCCCGGCTCACCTTTCTGACCCTTTTCTGATACCTCACCGGGTTCACCTTTTTGTCCCTATAAACAAATATCAATTTTTAGATGCAACAAACTACATAAAAAACAGGTTACGAAAAATTTTCATATTATTCCAAAGAACATACAATTTTTCAAATTATAATAAATAATTAAAAAAAAAGTAAATACCGTGAAACCTTGATCTCCGTGATCACCTTTCTCACCAGCCATTCCTATAAGACCCATTGGCCCTGGTTCGCCCGGGGATCCTATATCACCTTTGGGTCCAGCTTCACCAGGCCGTCCAGGTTTTCCGTCTATACCTGGCATTCCAGGGAATCCTAATAATCCCTTCTCACCCTTCTGACCTTGTGCTCCAGGTGCACCATCGAGTCCAGGTCGTCCTGTCAGTAATATTTCAAGTTTATTGTAATTTTGGTATTGGTGTCAGGGACAGTATTAATTAAATAAAGTTAATTGCGTACCTTGAACTCCTGGAACACCTCTACGACCAGGGAATCCTTTAGAACCATCAATACCAGGAACACCAATGTCGCCTTTAAGACCCGGCATTCCAGGTAATCCAGTTCGTCCGGGTTCTCCGGGTATTCCCAGTTCACCTAATAAATTATGTAATAATACATATATTGAAAAGAATTTCCTATATTATATACGTAATCAACGAGATAAAATATCCTTGAACCTTTCGATCCATCCATTCCAGGAGTGCCTATGATTCCAGGAGGTCCTGGAGGGCCGATTGGTCCAGCATCGCCCTTTGCTCCTGGCACTCCAGGTAAGCCGTTTATTCCAGGAGGACCACTGTCACCTTTCTCTCCATCTAATCCTCTTAAACCAACATATCCTGGCGGGCCTTCTTTTCCAACCGGTCCTATCAACCCTTTGTCACCTTTGGGTCCTTGCGGTCCACGTAAACCTTGGTTTCCTTTGACAGATATTCCTGGTTCTCCTTTAAGACCTTTCGGTCCATTGAAACCAGGAGTTCCTCTTGGTCCAATTAATCCTGGCTCGCCTGGAAAACCCATTGGTCCAGTGTTTCCTTTATCACCACGCGGACCTGGTAAACCTCTAGGACCTACGGGTCCAGGTGCTCCTATAGGACCAGCCGGCCCAGGTAAACCCTACAAATATTGTCTTAATAAGAATCATATTACACTTAACGTGTCATAATGCGTTTATTTCACTTACAGTTGCACCAGGAAAACCTCTATCCCCTTTCTCTCCATAATAACCAGCGAGACCTGGTTCTCCCTTTTGACCGCGATCTCCTTGAGGCCCTTTAACAGCCTCTGTGATACTAAGAGGTGGACAAGTACCTAGGAAAAACAATAAATTACGTATTTAAAAAATTCTTCAAGTTTTAGAAATAACAATAGAATTTTTTATTTTACAATTACGAAATTTTTATTTAAATAATAACGTTATTTACCTGGTAATCCTCTTTCTCCTGGGAATCCAGGTTCACCCTTTTGTCCAGGATAACCATCTAATCCTCTATCTCCCTGATCACCCTTAATGCTTAGGCCTATTTCTCCTTTTCTTCCTGGAATGCCTGGCCTTCCTGGTGTACCATCTGACCCGGGAAATCCTTGATCACCCTTCATAAATATCATTGAATAATCAGTTAGTTAAATAAATAGATATAACTATTCCTTTTGTGTATGTTCTTTACTAAAAAAAGGCATTACCGCATCTCCTTTTGTTCCAGGGAATCCGAGACTTCCTGGACTACCCTTCTCACCCATAGGACCTTCTGGGCCCATAGGTCCTTCTCTACCAAAGTCTCCTCTTTCTCCCTTTTGACCCTTCTCGAATTTTAACTGGTTTTCACGAACGATGCAATCTTTACCAGGTTCTCCTGGTGCACCTGGAGAACCAGGCAGTCCATCTGTACCCTATTAAAATTTCATATTACTTACTGATAAAATGAGTTGAATGTAAAATATGTAATAATATATACTCGTGATCCAGGAAAACCAGTAGGACCAGGAAGACCATCAAGACCAGGTTCTCCAGGGAAACCTCTTTCTCCCGAGGGTCCGCGTGAACCAGGCAAACCATCTTTGCCATCGAGACCTCGGTCACCTTTGTCGCCTTTTAATCCAGGTAAACACTGTGTACACCTGCCTCCGATTTCTCCTTTTTCTCCAGGAAGACCAGGCCAACCTGGAGTACCATCTCTACCGGGGGGACCTATATCTCCCGGAAGACCTGGGACACCAGGAGATCCAGGAATCCCTTCTAATGAATCACCCGGTCGTCCACGTGGACCCCCATAACCCTTCTCTCCTTTTTGACCTTTAGCACCGTCTCTTCCGGGAGCTCCATCAATACCTGGAGGTCCCTGTAATGTAGATTAATTATTCATTGAATAACATTAAACAATTATCAATTATATATAGGAATGTACAAAGAAATTTCTCATTTTTTAGCACGTTGTGTTTTACAGCTATTTATAAGTTACCCTCATTTATCATTTTATTCCGGATTATTATTATTCTCATTATTCACGATTTAGGTGTAAAGGCGACCTCATTTCAAAAATACGCTACTAAAATGATCGAATCAAACTTGCTCAACGTATAATTAAAGTGTTTTCACCTTCACATTAATGCACGTACTATGTTCAAATATTAAGTTGTGGACGCTATTTTTCCTAATAAACGTTCACAATTAATACTTAAAAAAAACAAACAAAATTCATCTTACAGCAATCGACAGTCCTTTTTCGCCGGGAAGACCTATCGGTCCTGGAGGGCCAAGAGGACCAATAAATCCTTGTGGTCCAGGCTCTCCAGGAAAACCGGCGAGACCTGCGTCTCCTTTCGCTCCTTTTTCGCCTGGCGATCCTTCAGCTCCTGGAAGACCTGCTATTCCAGGACCTCCTGGATGTCCTATAGGACCTCTTGGACCTGGTTGTCCGGGAGTACCATCAGCTCCTCTTAAACCAACTGGGCCGGGATATCCTCGGGGACCTTTCTCACCAGGGGGTCCTGGTTGACCTTTACCACCCTATTATTATATAATTTAAAATGAAAAAATGTTAACAACAAATTATTTTTACATAAATATTTTCATATAAACGATTTTATATCATTATTTTTAACTAACCCCGGGTGGTCCTGGAGGACCTCTAAGACCAGGTAAGCCTGCTAGTCCATCACTTCCTGACTCTCCTTTCAATCCTTGAGGACCCATTAGTCCATCAGCTCCATCGTAACCGCGATCACCTTTTTGACCTGGAGGTCCTGGAGGTCCGGAAAATCCATCACGACCCTAAAAGATGTCAAATGTAATGCTTCGAAAAAAAATGTTATGTCAACAACAAAATAGATTACGTACCCGAATTCCCGGTGCTCCAGGGAGTCCTTTTTCTCCCTTCATACCATTCAAACCAGGTCGACCATTATCTCCAATAAATCCTGGTTCTCCTTTTGGTCCGACCCATCCCATATCTCCCTTAATAAAAAAATTAACCGAATACGTAATTAGTACAACTGAAATGATGAAATATTTCAAAGCTTATAAAATTGAAATTGATCAAATAGAAATTTTACTTTTTCTCCCTTTTCACCAGGCAATCCGATGGGGCCTATTACTTCATTAGGCGACGTTTGAAAAGGATATGGATTGCTTTCTCCAGGTGGACCCGGCTCTCCTTTAGTACCTTTATCGCCCTTAGGGCCCTCGAAACTTAGACCCATCTGACCTTTTTCTCCTTTCGTGCCTTCTGGTCCTGGAAAACCCTATAATATTTTTCAATAATTGAAAAAAGTACTTGATATTTCATCTATATCTCATTTACGGTAAATTGTATTTCATATTGAATATTTAAAAATAATTTTTTAATTTTCCAAATTAAGATATCACATTAAAAAAAATCAATTATTTATAATTAGTAGCGATGCGTGCTTTGTGCACTCATCTTTTGCGTTTTTTCGTATTTATTTTAATGCACAAATATAGATCAAAACTTTTACTGGCAAAATTGAAAAATCAAATATTTTTATAATTTAATATGAGATATAGCCAACGATATTATTTATTGATAAATAAATACGTAGTTACGGTGATACCAGTGATTTAAAAACGTTATCAGTTAAATTTTTATCATCCGAAGGTGTGTGTTGAAAAAACCATTATTCAAGAGTTTGAAAAATACAATGAAAAATATGAAATAAGTTCTAAAATCATCATATTTTTCTATAATCATATCCTGTACGATATAAGTAACATACTTCAATAGATATTCACGGTTTTAATCTGTCGATTTATATGTTTTATTACTTATTTTGTTTATTCAGAGCTAATCTTTCACATAGAGTAAAGTTAAATTAATTTCTATATTGAGGTATTATAGTCAGTTTTTATTTTGAGATTAATGTGATTATATCACTGATTCAAATTGAATTCATGCTAACTATACTGATATACTTTTCGAACATTTAATTTACGTATCTATAGTAAGTTGTCATGAGCGTATACAACATATATATAATATAACATAACAGCTAATCACGTGACTATCTTTCAGCCAATTAATTGATGAATAAACTGGTTTCACTGTATTAGGTTATCTTTTTTATAAGAGAATTACCATTGGACCAATTTCACCCTTTGGGCCAGAAGAGCCAGGGAATCCTTGAGGACCTGGTGTTCCTCGAGCTCCTTGCACGCCGTCGATACCGGGTTCTCCCTTCTGTCCAGTGAGAAGCATACCACAGTGACCTGCTTCTCCTTTGTCTCCTTTGAAACCCGGGACACCAGGTAAGCCACGTGGTCCAATTTCTCCAGGTCTACCCGGTGTTCCAGCTGTTCCCTTCACAATTATTTAATTTACGTTAAATTTACCATTGCAAATTTTTTTGATACACCAAACAAATTTATTAAAACTTACATCAGTGCCGTTACATCCATCTCGTCCAGGAAAACCGGGTGGTCCAGCAGCTCCAAGTGATCCAGGTATTCCATTTTGTCCTGGGTGACCAGGTACACCCATTCGCCCCTAATCATCCGATTTAAATGAGACTGTATTTTAGCACACGAGTGTTATATTTTTAAATATAACTTTTTTGAAATTATATTACTTACTCGATCACCTTTGACTCCGCGTTGACCTTGCGGGCCAGGATCTCCCTTATCTCCTTTCGGTCCTAAAAAACCTTCTATACCTGGAAAACCTTGTTCTCCTTTAGGTCCAACTGGCCCCATTAAACCCGGTGGACCCTAAATCATTCGGAACGTATACAAACTGTAATATGATTGGAAAAAAATGTTTTTTATACGAAATAGAAATTAGCGCTACACTTACTCTAACGCCTTTCTCCGCAAAGCACTTCGGATAACAACAGCCAGAGCCGGTAGTGGTATTACAACCTTTGGTATCGACACCAGGAGCTGGATACACTCTGTAGTTGCTTGGATAACCGTTTTCTCTATATCTGCTAGAAGAATCTTGCCTAGCCCCACCTTTTTGATTGAAACCGGCTTCATAGCTACGTCCACCGCCGTGCCAGTCATAGTAACTAGATTCATAGCTAGAACCACCGCCACGCCGTTCGTAACTGGATTCATACCGTGCTTGATTGTGACGAGGATCAGGATAATTTAATCCATATGCATTCAACGAAGGTGAAATACTATGTTCTTCGTTCTGCTTAGATCGTAAACTTTTTTCATCTTCGCTGTACGTCTCGCCAAACGTATCGCCATACTCAGGGTACCCAGGTAAATCTCCGCGTTCAATCCTGCTTGATTTTTTTTGAGGGACTTCGCGCTGTAAAAAGACATACCGCATTAATTGTAATACAAAACATCATTAATAAATCCTAATAAAATCTCGCTATTTGAAGTCATAAATCAGCATAGTTTTAAATCTTGCGCGATTTCATATTATAAATCACTACAATCATTAGGAAAAGGCATAAAAATACTATGTATACCAATTTAAGCTTTATACTAATTTAATCGTATTAACATATAAAATAACTCTTTCATGACCTTCACTATACCATATATTTTTGATCTTTCCGAAATTAATTTCATTTTCATTACGACAGAACTCTTCCAAAAAATAAATTTATTATAATAAAATAAGTTTATCGTAATATTAATTTTATACTCAATTTTGGTAACAAGACTTGAATACTTCCGCATATTTCTGTATAATTGTTTATGAAATCATCTGTTAGAATTTGCCTTTCAAAGTATTTCAATCAGATTCAATCAGTATACGCGATTTGAACTTTGATTTGTTCGATTAATAATCATTGAAAAATTTCATGAATTGATTACTGACACATCTATGAAAAGTGCTAATTTAAATAAATAATCGTCACATGCGATGTTAGATGAACATTATTTATATTTAATCCATTAGATAATCAAAAAAATTTAATAAGTCTAGAACAATAACTTCGTTAACTGTAAGTTTAAGACTAGCATGAGTCTCTTATTTCGCGAAGTAGGTACGACTCTTGTCGCCACGTGTAAAAAAATAAGTGGAAAAAGGAGCTTCTTATACGTTGCATTTTCACCGCAGATATGGGTGCAGAAAATTTCCTTATAAACGCATGTATATGTGCAAGACTGCACGCGCAACCCAAATTTTGAGGTGATAGCGCGTCCGATAACTGGGCCAGCGGCGTAGTCATCTCTTTTATCACGCGACGCCTCCGCGCAATATCATTCGAATACGATTACGCAACGTATACTCGAGTTCCTCCGAGTCATCTCGTATCTCTTCCTCGCACGCCTCTCTTTTTTTCATTTCTCTCTGTTTCTCGATTTTCCTCTCCCTTTTTTTTAGCAAAGCAAAGAGGATGCAAACGACATGGTTTCAATACTACATCTCGAAAGTGAACTAAGATTTTACAACGGGTCAATGTCACTGTACCCATTTATATCAATAGCGTTGCTAATGATTTTTGTCTCAGTCTTCGACTTGAATTTTCAATATCATCCTTAACACCTCATCAGTACACTGTATCATATATATGCATTGCGAACATTTACGATTAAAAAATCTAAATACTAGACTCATGTTTCTATATCGTAAACTGATTTCATAGTTTTTATGATGTAAAAATTAATGGTTATTGTCTTGAAATATCATATAGAGCATACGATGTCTAAACGAATTCAACAAAATTACTAAAAAATATTATCGTAGGCGAACCAGTCAGCATTATCGTGGTGAAAATGCCACACCTTTATATAATAATTTCTTTTTCGCGAAGTAGAAAGTCACGAATAGTATAATGGCGGCAAAGCATTATGGGAACAAAAATAATAGATAAAGAGAAAATGCGTGAATCTGATTTATTTTGAGATTGCGTTTTGTTTCACGTAGAGGCATTTCCGCAACCGTGTTTTAAATATTCTCCATGTGATTAATATCTTAGGAAAATCAAGCAATTGAAGAAAGCGAGCTTTGAAGAAGTATTTTTATAAATTTTCTATACAACATAAAAGTTGACAGAAACATCGATAAACTGAAGAAATATGTAGTTCAAGGATGTTGTAAATGAATGAAAAGAATTCTTCGTGATATGTTAATTATTCATTCTATTTATATATAAAACAAGTTTAAATTTAATTTAAGAATCGATGGATAACGTGTAGCTTATAATGCGTGATAAGAATAATCATATGAATTGAAAAGTCGATAAACCATTGAAAAAACGCGCCCTAAGAAAAAGAGAAATGGAATGTACTCGTAACCGATGCGCGCATTCCATCCCATATCGCGGGGAATCCCCACGCGAGTCTTGCCAACGCCTACGATACTGCAACTGCGTTACTCGCGTGGCGCGCTCGGTTGTCAGCGCGCGAGGGGAATCGTCGAAACCCGATCTTTCTCCCCCGCTCTCTGTCGGCGAGCGCCGCCCCGTACCTTACGACCGGCCGTAGCGGGGCAGCCGAGAGCAAAAGAGCGCCGTCGCGATCGTCAGTCGTTGCCGCGCACGCGTGCGTTATTCATCTAATTATTTGTCTCCTCTGTTTCTTGTACTCACCCCCTCGGCGACCACGACCAGGAACACCAGGGATGCGACGAATCTAAAACACACAATTACAGATGCATGTTTTATCACTGTTACTTTCCAGGAGATGCTGCGTACCTATACAGGTGCGCGCGTTGGGTTTTCTTAGCGAGCGACGGCACTCGATGGTAGGCTTTAGAAATTAGTAATAGGCACTTTTTGGAGCAAGCAATAAAGTCACGAATGCGAGTTGGAGTGCGCGCGGCTGAAACTTTAGAAGAGAATAATGGGTCGTTTTTAAACGGGCAACAGAGAAACAAGAAGAAATCATCGGAGCAAGCGCTGCCAGCGAAAAAGCCAGTCGGCCGAGCAAAATTTTGGGGTGTGCGCTCGCGCATCATCGTAATTCAGCGAAAGTATTTCTCTCGTTTTCGTTAGCAGCAGGAGCATAGACCGGTCGCCACGTGAAATCGCGCGTAAGAAAATCGGCAGCGAGAAGAGGCGAGCGAGCAAGAGAATAGATAGAAAAAGGCGTGCGAAGGACTTACCGCAATCCCAGCCGGGTCATGTCGCTCGTCCGGATAGATCACAGCAGGATCGCGCGTTTTTCTTTTTCCGCTGCGTTCTGTTGGACGGGCGCTATCTATCTGTCCGCGCCTGCTCACGTCTCGTCGTCGCGGGGCAGTAGAATCGCTGCACTCCAACGGAGACTGCTTACTCCTATCGGGTAGGCAGTCCGAGGCGCGAATAAAGCGCGGCCAGTTCGTCTCGGCACTGCCGTGCTCCGAGTGGTGGTGTCTCTTGGCGGTAATGTACGACTACGCCTTGGCGCTGCTCTTGACTGGTAACTCGCCGGGGGGGAGCGCACCGCTGCCGGCGAGTGTCGCGCGCCTAACGTAGCGCAGGGATACACCAGCCGCCAGCCGTCTTGCTCTCCGCTGCGAGCAGCAGAGAAGGGACCGCCGAGCGGGGAGACTTGGGAACCGGTGACGAGAGGCGCTGGCACGCGCGCGCGCCACAGATCGACAAAGCACCTCCGTGCGGCCGCAGCCGCTCTCACTTTCGCGGACGAGAGGCTGACTCTTCTTCCAGCCGACTGACAACTGCAAACTGCGGCCCGACTGCCTGCCCAAGTCGCAGCCAGCCGGCCATCCGTCGGCACCGCGCAACGCAAAAAGGGAGCAGGCGAGATGCGGCTCGAGAACATGGCCTCCTCTCTCAGGCCCCTGCCCATCTTCGCCTGCCTCTACCTGTTGCTCGTCGGACTTGCCTGGTACCTGCCGAACGTCTCCGCCGTCGCTGTGAGTACCCAACCCAACCCTCCTCCGTTATCATTCGTATTTCTAATGGCCTCCTATCCGACGTCGACCTCGACTTACGACCGTCGACTTTCAACGCGTGCGATTCGCTTCGTCTTTTCGTTTCTCGCGCGATCGCGTCTCCATATTACGTCGCTATAAATGCCCCGGCTAGAAACATCAAAGTGCATTCGTATCGAGTGTTGTAGCGCCAGCATTAACGTACACACACGAGTCCAGATCGACCGCGGGGTTGTGATAGATAGACCAGCGGCGCTGCAAGGCGCTGTGAGCAGCACGTATCCCTCCTCCAGACGCGAACCGCCGATTTGGCGCGAGAGTGGGCGCGCGGAAGACGATTCACCGAGGAACAGTGGTGGGGCGAGATGACGATGACTGGGACCGAAGGGGGCGGTCGAACGGAGGGGTAATTCATCTAGTGGGGGCTGTCGTTTCTTTTTTCTCTTTCCGAACGATTTTCGAGAGGATTTCTTTTTCTTTCTTCATTTCGACAGTCCACGTGTTTCTTGGGCGTGCTATGGTAATGGATCTCGGACGTATGGGGTTTCAACTTTGTTGATATTTTGCTTGAACAAAAAAATAAGCAGTAGCTAAACGAGTGCAAGAATAATGATTTAGTTAAAAGACATAAATAGTTTGTCGATAGGAAGATGTTTTTTTTTTGAAAATGAAATGTCGACAATGTGCCTGTGCAACGCTACCACCACGTATCTTCTCAGCTTCTGTTCGATTTCTTTTGCAAATGAAATTGGAGCGAATAAAGCTTTGAATTTCGTTGCATTTTTCCGATTTTTGATCGCTTAAAAAAACCAGTTACCGACGAGCGGTGCATTAGCGATCGATCCACTCGTGAAATTGCAACGTAATCGAACGAGCCGATCTGCTTTGGCGAGAACGAGCACGAATACGCACAGGCAGGCAGCATAATCGAAAAGTAAAAACAGGGAAAGATCAGCGAGTGGCTGCGATTCTAGGCTCTTGAGATTAGATGCTGACCTCAATGGCGCGCGCGCGGACGAGAAACAGCAAAAAACTCGCGGCCGAAAGGAAGGCAGCGTGTAAAGCAAGCAATTCGTGGAATCGAATGTTGGGGAGGGCGAAGAAGCCGCCGGGAACGAGAAAAAGAGAAGAAAAAGAGCAGTGCGGGAGTTCATCGGAGTTTATCGCGTTGTCGCCGCCCGAATTAGATTTCATCGCGCGTTGACATTAATTCTCGTTGAAAACAATCGGCGCGAACAATTTGCAAGCAAGCTGCACTTAACTTCCGCGCGATACGCGCGAGTGTGCGCTGATCAAACGAAGACACTCGCACGGGGTATAGGGGCGCGAAGGATGTGTCCGTGACTGGCACGTCCCGCTCGCAAGCGTGCATCCATTGGACGACGTGTAGGATTCGAATGGCTTTGCCTTCGTTCGGTCATTGGTTCAAGGAAAGTGAAATCCATGAAAACACCAGCAATCGGTGCTTGCGTCGAAGAAGAAAATATGTCGCTACGGTATTCGCTGTGAACAATTGGACAGCCTTGGAATCTCGTTCGATCCCGGAAAAATAAATTGTACAAACAGATCCGTAAAAGAGCGACTGTATAGTTGACGACAATCAAAGTCAAAGGCATCTTGATTGATATGCCGGCTGTATTTCAACGCCGATTGATCTACAATTGTCGCTGCAAGCGCGACGCGAACGTTAAACCATCGTCTTTTCCATCGGCAATTCGAAACGACGACTTCGTCATGATCGTTGCACGCGTCCGTGAGAGCCAATCGCTTGGCAAGTGCTCGCCATTTTGGAGAAACAATAGAGCTCATTGAGCGGACACTTTTATGGAAAGATCTCGCGTTGCCGATCCTCGCGCAAATCATCCGCGTAAACGTTGCCAATTCCGCGATCTTGTGCGCCACGACGGCTGAATGAAATCGATTGTCGATGGTCAACGAACCGCGCGTGCGTAGCAGCCGTCGTACGCGCTGCGTTATCACCTGCGAGCGCAGCTTCACCGCGGCCGGCGAGCCTCTCGATGTAATTTATGATTGCCTGGCACAGTAGTGCTCTCACTTGGCTGTGCACTTTTTACCAAGCGTTATCCATTCTCCTCTCTAAACTCCGCCTTTCGGCCGTTCCATTTCAATTTTCTATCCGCGCTTTCGGTCCAATGCGCCCAAGAACGACTTTCAACTGATTCGAATATTTAAAAGCTCAAGCAACGCGACTCGACGACTCACGTTTTAAGGCACGTGCTACGTACGAATAATAAGAAGAAACACGAACAAACTGACGTTAACTCGGAACTCGGATGTCATTTTTTAACTGGCTTCGAATGGCCCAGGCGCGGCCCCACAGTTTGCGAACAAAATAAAACTGCATCCGTAAAAATAAGCATGTGCGCAAGCTCGAGAAAACAGCAACGAGTAGAGAGAGAGAGAGAGAGAGCCAGCGTAGAGTTGTATCTTGAGCTCGTGCTCGCTACTTCCGCCCGAGTCTGATAAATGCGTACTGCATATGCTCTCGAAAACAAGTTTGTTCGTCGCGATCGATTCGTTGCTTGTACTGACTTATATACAGCAGCTTTGCAGAAAGTCACACCTCTGCTTAATATTCCAGGAGAAATCCAGCATTCGTTCTCATACGTATAAACACACACGCCCACTCGTTTATAATAGCGACTTCGATACCAGGAAGTAAAAGCACGTGTGCAATTGTGTATCCTGTGTCTGTGTCACGAGCCATTTAAACCCCTCTCATTAAGCATACCGGAGATAAACGTGCCTGCTTCGCTGATTATCTGTCTTGCTCATCGGTTTCTCGTTCGGCGCGATCTTCACCTTTATTTCTCTTACGCGTTCGCTTTCAGTTTTACGACGGCGCTTCATTGGTCGATAATAAAGGGCCGCCCGATAATCAGCACGAGGCAAATTCGATAGCTAAGCGAGCTAGTGGATCTTATTAGGAATAATTATACGCCTACGGCTCACCGTGCGCACTGTTTTATTGCAGTCTCCGTGGAATCGTTACAATTCAACGCATGTTAATTTTCTTTTTTTTTTTCATCTCGATTCCATTGTGCTAACTTACGTACCTTTTTCCATATTATGATTAATGTCATTCGCACGGTTTATTTGCATGAACGACATACCATAAGTTATTCTGATGCAAAGTTTACATAAGCGTTCAAATGAGATGCGTATACAAATAACGCGCTTATTTGTCAATACTGAAGCTAGATGTATAAACGATCATTGTCACTGGCATTACCAACCGTTCAACGATATATTTTAAGCCAAAAAGACTTTGTTCGGAGCGTATAAGAAAAGACGCGTCTATATCGGGTACCGTCTCGTAAAGACGGTAACTTTGACCTATAGTGTACAATTGCGAGGTTTACGACTCGCTCTCATTATCGGCGACATTGATGACGCCAGTCGTTCTCCACACCATATAAGTTAATCAAAATCATGCGAATCAATTTTATTAACATTACATTTCATCAGAATGAAGAGATTAGAGAGTTTCCTTTTAAGTGAGTTTAAAAATTATCATATATATCATATATAAAGTTGACACGATAACGAGTGTCGCAAGAAAACCATACGTTTCAAGTTTAGTAAGTTCACTTTGAAGCCAGCGACGTTATGAATGAAACTCCAAGAACCTATAAGATATTTGGCGAATAGCCGAATGAAATGATCAAATATAAAAGAGAGAAATGAAAAGAACTATTGAATTACTGAAATTTTTGGAATCTCAACTCATAATTACTTTGCGTGAAATAATACACTTGCAAAGATTCATTGGCATTTTTCTTTCATTCGCAAAAATAGCTACCATATAAATACCGGATCCAATTAAATCCTCTTTATCTAAATCTAACCGCATATATTTCTGTATAGCGAGAAAGAGAGAGAGAGAGAGAGATTCCCGTTCAATGAAATCGAGCGTCACGCTGCACACGAGTTCAAGTGCACTGCCCCTTAATGAATGAACCGAGAAGGGACAGCATCGATAAATGCACAGGCCTTGGTAAAAAATCTAACGGGAGCCACGTTTTTCTATCCCTACAAGCGATAGATAAGGTACTTCCTCGAAAAAAATCTGAAATTGTGCTTATCGCGCGACAAGGAGATAAATGACGTGTATGCGTTGCGCAAAGCGACGAATCTACTTTTTCTTCTTAATTTCGGATTTTGCGCTGCTATATTTAAAATATTAACTCGTTGAACGGATAATCCTACTGTCGAGAAATCGCAAAGCTCGCGATGTCGCTTTGACCTTTGAGCTTGTGCGTGGTGAATAACGAGAAGGCTCGATATACGTAAGCAAGAAAAGAAACTAGAATAGCCACGCGGTGACTAAGATATCTACTTTTTGATGGTTTTAGAGCTTTTAGGTTTTAAGCTTTTACAATTAGTGTCGCGTTTCTGCAAAGCGCAACAGCCGTCGATTCTATAATGAACAAACGTGCAATGAGCCGTGTCGGTAGACTTCCGTAACCATAAAGCAGGCGCACAACTGCTGACCCTCTTTTCAACGCTAAAATGTAAAATAAGCTTTCGTCGAGATGCCGCGCGCGAACACGCTGCTTTTTCTCGTAAAACCAGTTCAAAGAACTTTTTAATGCTGATTTCTAATAAATAGCACCACTTGTATCTTGTATGAAAAAGAAGCTCGTGTATACCGAACCTTGAATTATACATCTAGAAGATTCTTTCGTAATTTACGATCTTACCTAGTGTTATTTTTTCAAGATTTCTTGCTCGCGATCCATTTTCGGCTGCTACCATCCAAAGCTCTATAACTCATTGGGATAATACTCCAGTTTTTTAATTATAATACTGACTTATTATTAGATTGATTCCTCGTGCTTTGCAGCAAAGGGTTGAAAAAACATCTCCCCACGTGCCGTCATCGTTTTTAAATTCTAGTCAGATTTTGCGTATGATTAGTTGCAGCCGTCGACAAGCATGCCAATATTAAAGGGCACACG